GGGCAGTTAGGACATATTCTTAAGGGGTCACTTGGCAGGGTTTCAGGGGGGGGGGCCCCGGAATCCCCCTTATTTAAAATTTCTTAAGGGGGGGGGGGGGGGGGGGCGGCAACACCTCCGGACATATAGCACACACTGCAGGAACAGCAGTAGCATAGCAACACAGCAGCCAACCCATACAAGTACACAACAGCATGCTGCTGGGCTGCATCACTACTTAAGACGGTTGCTACCAAGCAGCACGGGGTTGCCAGCGCAGCAACCAGTGTATTACAGTTTGTACCAGCTACAATACGTGTCTGTGCTTCGGTTAGGAACCGCGGAGCAGCGTCCATCCACCCTCTCTTCCACGCGTGTGCATCAACAGGTACAACCACACATCATAGGCGCACGCATTCCATACGGCATCGTCAGCACAGCAGTTGCTGCACGTATCTCTTTCTGTCTCTCTTTATGCTCGAATTCACGCTGCCTCTCTCGACTGAATCAAACTGCTGCTGGGGCACGGAACAACTGCATATCCTGTCTTTAAAAAGTCGTCAAACCGGGGGGAGGGGGGAGGGGTGCAACATCTCCGGACATATATCTCGCTTCGTTGTGCCCTGGGCTGCGGGAGGCGCGTCCCCGGAAAACCAAAACGTCAAACTACTACACAGCAGCAGCCTACACATTCAGTATACACACAGCAGGCACAGCAGTACATAGCAACACACAGCAGGCAACCTATCTGTTGCTGCATGTCTATCGCCAACACAGACGGTTGCTACCGCCATGAGCTATACCGTAGCACGGGGTTGCCAGCGAAGCAACCAGCGTATTGCGTTCGTGGCAGCTGTCTGTCCGCGCTTCGGTTAGGAACCAACCGCAGAGCAGCGTGGATGTACCCTCTCCTCCAAGCGTGTGTGTGCATCAACAGGTACAACCACACATCATAGGCGCACGCATTACATACGGCATCGTCATCACAGCAGGTGCTGCACGTATCTCTCTCTTGTCTCTCTTTGTGCTCGAACTCACGCTGCCTCTTTCGACTGAATCCACCGTGACCGCACCCTGCACCACGCCCGAAACCCCGTGAAGTGCCTTCGAGCGAAGCGAGTCGACCCGCACTGGGACCGCACACTGCACCACGCCCGAAATACCGTGAAGTGCCTTCGAGCGGAGCGAGTTACGATGCCACACTCGCATTCTCTCCACACCGATTACATCAACACACCACGCTAGTCTATGCCTTTTGTCAATCGCACATCATCTGTGTCTTCAACACACCTGCCTGATGATCCTAGCGTCATCTTCCAAGTCCCCGCCCGCGTTGGCCATGGGCACGCATGCTTGTCGTCTGTAGGCCTGGCTCACAGCCGCACGCGGCCTGGCGGGCAAGCAGAACAACATAATATCACAACCGGGGTCTCAAGACTACATAACCTTCACGGTTGGTCCGACCAAAATGAGCTCTCATCATTACTGCTACCAGTGCCGGTCCCTCATCGAAGATCGATCACTCTCGCCGGTGTTGCCTCGTACGGAGATGTTCGCCGCTGCTTACCAAGCTTGGGTATCAATGCCGAGGTGTGCTGCTGTGACGGTTGGCTCGACAGCTCGCGGTGCAACATGTCGAAATTCTCTTGTGCCGTTGGCAAGACGGCTTGAAGGTAGGTATGTACTGTAGTACCACGACCCACGTCGAAATTTCTTATTAGGAGAGGCCCGTGCATAAACTTGGCTCATGCCGCAAGGTCTCGGAGATTTCGGTGCAAGTGGCGAGGTACTCCCGAGAAACGGCGTCGAGGTCGAACGTGTTCACCACCGAGTTTGAGGGAAGACAACACAGCAGCATAGACTAAATAGACTAGTATAGCTATACATGTAGTACTCATGTCATGTATATAACGACATGAACCCATATCTGAGACGAAAAATGGTCCATCAGCAGTAGCGTGTGTGGTGTGGGCGACAATCAAGCATGAGGTTGCCAGAAAGCCCTTGAGCATCTGTTGGGGGTGCATTGCCCAACGGCCAAACCTCCTCAAATGCACGCAATAGCATGTTAGATCGGCGATCAGCACAATATACATAATTTACATGACATGAGCGCAGAGTTCTGCGAACGAAACCAATTTCAAACCTGTATGTTTCGGTAACATCGTGGCAAACAGAGACGGACACAGGGCAACTAGACTTCTGCGTATGACAGTAAGCGAGCCTACGGTGTGGCCACGAAGATGTTTGCACTTGTATCATGCGAGGCCTTTTACATACCTCCGCAGCGGCGTATTCATGCTCGTTTTCAAGGCCAGCAGTCTGCCTGGATTGGACACACCTCCGTGCAAAGGAAAAGCTCCGATCGTATCCGTAGCGAGTATGAAAGCAAATAAGACCAGCGTGGGCACCGTCGCCATGATCGTTTCTGTACTGCTGTCTAATGAGCCAGGAGCCAGTCTGTTGTTGTGGTGGTGGGTTGTCGTTTGTCGTCGATCAGCGATTCAAACCATGAGAGGCCACGTGAAGGTTTCGGCATACCCCGCTACCAGTACCTCAGGACACTTGATTTGAGTACAGTTGGGGGTCCGTAGATGATCAAATGAATGCTCTCTGGAATGTGAGCAGCAGTAATGCGATACATACTCTGACGAAACACGATGACCCCGCTCTGTTGCACTGTCGGTGACAGGCTGAGGTTTTATGGTTTTATGGCGTTTGTGTCCACCACCTCATCCATCCGCCGATTGTTTTCTTGTCGGGTTTTTTCGTGTTTGTTAGCACGTCGAGAGACACAGGAAAAAAGTGTCGTCGAGCGAGCAAGCAGGAGTGCCTTCCACCATGATATATATATATGGATGCCAATGGTGCTGTCTTCTACAGCGGTACAAACCGTTCCGATCTCTGCTTAGCGCCTTCTAAACGTCCGTACCGGTCCAACTGGCGCAGACATCATCCGTGGTCATAGGCGAAGTGCATACCCAAGGAGGGTACAATAATAATAGTACACCATGAAATTGAAATGAAAAGAGAGAAAGGAATTGCAACATGAATATGGTACGCCTTGGTACTATAGACAGTACTTGTGCACAATGATGTTGATACTTAGAGGATGTAGAGCGTACGGTGGGGGCGGAAGTGACACTGGAGACTTTTACAACATTATCCGAATACTGCTGTACATAAATGTACTGGACCAGCACGGCATGATGACGAGGAACAGCATGACAAACACCACCGCGCTTGGCTTCTTCTTTCGATCACCGTTAAAAAGCGCACACAGAGGAAACGAACGGCAATCACCGCCAACCACCCAGTCGCGTCATGAACGGACACAACCGTTGTGGAACGATCCCTCCCTTCTGGGTTATTTCCGACAAAACAAAATTCATCAACCAGCGGCAGCGCCGACTACGGGCGGAGCAAACGGTGAATGAAGAAGTTGGATCAGTTTCACCCCTCTGGTGCATTCTCCGGCAACAACGAAGTCGGCCTTCAGGTTTCATTAAGCACACCAGTGAAAAAGGACGAAGTCGGTCTTCGAGTTGTACTACAACGTTGTACGCACACCCCATGCAAATGTATTTACTAGCGAGCTAAACGAATAAACAGATAATACATACAAACGCGGTGTCCACAAAAACCACCTCTCATCACAGAAACAAAACAAAACATAAACACTGCATCACAGCTTTTCTACACAGAACCATGTTCCTACTATCTTGGGGCAAACGGGTTACAATCACAGAGAGAAGAGACCACGAACACGCTTCGCCCGTGGTCATGACACAATCTACATTTCGAAAGACCCCTTCTCACGGGTAGTCTACAGCACGGTAGGGCGGACGGGAAAAATAAACACACGCCAATGAGGCATGCGGGGTATACGATCACGGTCTGCACCCCGCCAACAACACGCTGCTGATGGAAACGGTAGTTCTACACGGGGTTGGGAAACGTTGGATGACACCTTCACGGAGAGAGTTTCTGACATGCCAGAGTGTAGCGCACACGACTCGCTTCCACTCCACCAAAAGAAACGAATTCCCGCCCCGCCCACCCCCTTCGCTCCCACCAAAACCCGTCTCACGAAAATTCCGAAAGATCTATCAAGTTCCTACAAAACATGGTGTGAAATGTTCCACAGAAAATGCCTGGAAAAGAACTCCACACGGCGAAAAAAAACGCCTGCTTGCTGACGGGTGGCAAAAGGGTACAGAGAAGCTCCCCCCAATATTTTTTCAACCCGAACCCCGAAGGCTTCCCCCTCTGCCGCCCCCCCCCTGCATCCGGGAAGGCGGTGGTTGCATGTCGCCCCCGGGGGCGCCGTGGACACCGACGGAGACGTTCGGGGCACTCCGATTTGCTTGCCCTGAGTCCTGCTGCAGGCTTGCCGCGTACTCTTCCATGGCCTGCGGTGTTGGGACAACCAAGCATGCGTTTCGGGGGAGAACGCGAGTGACGATTTGTCATTTTGCGATGCGATGTGATGTCTGGGGGGGGGGGCAAGGCTACTGTATGGTGCTTGTGAGTGATCGAGTGCTACATGCCAAGTACAGAAATTGGCGCATCGCGTACACTCTTCCTGTGAAAGCAGCAATAGGTACGGCAAACACGAGGCAAACATCAGCAAAAGACGAAAATAAAAACAAAAGTTACAGAAGCAGCAACAGCAAATACAAGGGAGCCCCGTTCACGTCAAAAGAGTGCGTGCAGTTCGCCAGCCAAAAAAAACGAACAGCGTCAGTGCATGTTGGCTTGGAGACACGGAAGGCTGGCACGAGGAGGTTTCAACCAAGCGAGAATGGCCTCCATGCAACTAGACCGAAGCAACATGCCTGCAAAGTGAAAGAAATGAGCACTACCATTCGAACAGCAACCTGCAACATAGCAACCACAGAAATACCAGCAGCAATATCAACAACAAACCAGGTATCACTGGTATAATTCAGTGTGTGTAGGCTTAAACAGACTCAAAGGACGCCCAGTTTCCAGCTGGTTTCCCTCCACTTGCTCTAAAGACTTCCACACATCCCTTTCGACTGTGGTATTATCTAGAACCCAGTCTGTTATGAATATTTTCTAAGAAAACGACGACCACATGGTACCTTTTTGGCCCTGGGGTAGTAGTAGTCGACGAGCTCGAGCCTGACCCTGCCTTTCTTGCCGGCAAAGTGGAGCATGAAGTCGCCCGACTCGTACCTGCCAGCAAGGAACGGAAAAACACAGAGCGCCCGGTTAGAGAAGCCCGCAGAGCAGCCGGGGGGTGCGCCAAACCGTCGTCTCCGCCACGCAACATTAGACAGGGGCCATGATGGTCGGACGACACAAAAAAAAAATAATAATCCACGCCCCCCACTCCGACTTGATGTGTTTCCGTTTGATCGAAAATGCCCTCGCCATCTCACGGCCCGCACTCTGCTGCACCATGGAACCAAGGCATGTGTGTGTGTGTGTGTTCGTCCCATCTGTTCTGGCGTCGGCTTACAGGCCTAAGCATGCATCAACAAAAAATACAATAAATTGCCAATCTAAGCAGTACGAGTGCCCGCTCGACTGCTGTGCCAACAGTCCAAGGCTTACCCGTATAAGTCAGGGACGGCACTACATAGCCGGTGCGGTGTCTGCTTTGCTTGCGTATCCTGGGCTTACGGTCTACCCCACTCACGTTACTCATGTGCAAAAACAGCGTGGCTTGCGTCGTGCCGGCAAACCACCCGAACATAAAAAGACACACTTAGGTTCAAAATGTAAAAAGCACGCAAAACATCGACCGGCCGCGACTAAGGTTGGCGATACTCTCCTTGCTGCTGATTTTTTTCTATCATGTCCGTGTTTTGTTGCTCCTCATTTCCTTCTCTCGTCTTCGAGCTTTCTATCTCCTTGTTCTCTTCCCTCATCCTCGAGGTTTCTTTGCTCCTTTTTTTCTTCTCTCGTCTTTGTGGTTTCTTGCCCTTTCTTCTCTCTTTCGTCTTCGAGCTTCATAGCTCCGTATTTTCTTCTCTCATCTTCGACCTTGCCTGCTCCTTCTTATCTCGTCTTAGAGCTTTCTTTGCTCCTTATTTTTCTTCGCACATCTTCGTGATTTCTTCCCCCCCACACTGTTCTCCTCTCATCTTCATTCATTATTGCCCCTAAATTATTTCGTGGCGTGATTTTTTGTCTTCTGCAAAATAAGTACCATCTCGCCCGCTACAATAAATACCATCTCCTCACGCACCTCGCCGCGCTGCCGACGCTGGTCCGACCCAGCAGCACCTGCCAGGGGTGCACCAGGTAGCTGTTCATCGCGCACTGGTCCAGCACGGCCGTGTGCGCCCTCACCACCGCGTAGTCCGCGTAGAACGGCAGGCCCTCTTCCTTCCAGCAGTCCGTCTGGAGGAGGTAGTGCATCGCGCGCTGTTGTGTGTGCACGCCGGGGGGAAGGGAGGGCGGGCGGGCGGACGGGAAGGCAGAGATGGGAGGGTGGGAAAACAAGAGACAGGTTTAGCACCCCCCGTGGTACCTACCGTCGTCATCGTTGAGCATCAACTTGTCGGGTCGGCAAGCAGGGGCAAGCGCGGGAAAACAGGGAAACACATGAGACAGGTCAGCACCCCCCGTGGTATCTACGGTCATCGCAGAGCATCAACTTGTCGGCAGCGGCCAGCAGCTGGTAATTTCCGCTTCCGAGTGATCGAACAAATGGAGTCTCTCTCATCTCTTTAACCGCGTGTGTAAGGGTCCTCTTTGAGAGGCGGCCAAAAACGGGCACACCGTGGCGACGGCCTTGTACGCCTATATATGCTCCCAGCAACCGCATGACGCCATCTGATTGGCCAACGCCCCGTCGCCACCAAACCAAGAAGAAACACGCACGCATACACACACCTGCTCGTAGTGGAAGGGATACGGCCCGTTGACGAACTGCTTCTGATCCCACCACTCCTGCAGGAGCCACCGCGAGAAGTCAGAGTTCTTTATCAGAATCACGCCGGAGTTGGGCCCGTTCCAGTCTTGCGTGACGATCAGGTCCGATTCCTTTCCCGCCCCTGTTGCGCCGAAACGACACAATTCGCGCCGCACAATCCAAGGGCAAGCGTTTGATGTCAACACGCGGTGGTAGAAAAGTGGGCCCGAAATAGATCCCATTACGAGTACTTTATGCCTTGGGGTAAGGTCAGACTCTGTCACGCAGCGTTTCAGCATTCCGGAGGAAAGGCGAGAAAGGTTGGAGACGAGAATTACTGCGGCCATCGCACAAGAGGAGCAAAACCATATGTGTTACTCGACCATGAAGTGCGTGTATTTCAAGAAAAGGGGGTTGTAAAGCGGGCCATGATAGCGTACTTTGACACGAGCACGCACCGGCATCCGGTCTCAAGCAGCCTACCTAAATAGCGCATCACCACCAAAAACAATCGAAACGCAGCGGCGTGCTACCAGTGTTACTCATCGTGGACGCCCATACCTTGTCCACTAAATACATCACGTTTGCCGAGAACGTTCAATCCACTGGAGCACACACACTAGGAATGCCTACAATCGTCAGCGAAAGCCTTGCTCTAGAATGAGAAGCGTACATCATGTCGTGACTACAACCTAGGGACAGAACGAGGATGGCTGCACGCTGATTGGCTGACCCACTCACCCCATCCGTCTATCCCCCCCGTCTGCTGCTGCTTCCTGGCCACGTCGAGGAGCCATTCCAGCTTGAAAGCCGGGTTCATCACGAACGCGTCGATGTCGACGAAGCTGCCGCCCGTCGATTACGGCACACGAAAGAACGACAGCAGGAGGAAAGGACGATCATGAACGATACTCCATACATATCATAACGAAATATATTCCATTTCATAGGAAGAGCAGAACGTTGAGTCCAATCCAGGAACAAATTGGCTGAATGGAGTTGGGGGGGACGGGGGCGTACTCATGTTTTGCATGCCTTAGTTGAAAGCCATTGGCCACGCGTCGTCGAGAGGACGGAATATTGTTCCCACAGGACCGATCACCGATGGCCAATCGTGCGTTCCTATTTTGCCAAAGGTAGCTCGAATAACGATTTCCTATCCTGTCCTATCGATGCCACTTCCCGCCTCTTCAGCCTGCTTCCTACGCCCCAGTACAGCTACCGTCTTTTGTTGGCCATTCCATGCCTCAAAATCGTTGTACCTTCCTTCTTTAGTCCCCGCCTCAGTCATAGACATGTCTCCCTCCTTTTCGTCAAACAAAAAATGTGTGGTAGCTGCCTCCCTCTTGATGCTAAAAAGACGCTTGTGTCTGCTTCCACCGGAAACGTATCTCACATGACGTAGTCGTAGCTCCCGAGGTGCTTGCTCAGCACCAGGAGCTTGCTCCACGCCGCCGGGCGACTCCGGTCGATGTCCGCGCTCGTGGCAACGATCACGTCGTACCCGTGGAGAGCCGCGTACGCCTTCTTGTTCGCAATAGACTTCTCGGAATACCTGTGCGAGCCAAACGAACACAAAAAAAACGTGCACATATACAGCATCGACGAACGGAAACTTCAACTGCTGCGGGCCCCCAAAAGGCGCATTTCTCCTTTGCGATTGACTGCGGTACAGTGGGGGGGGGGGGGGGGGGTTAAGCGACCCCTACAGTGTCAGGAGGAAATGCGGCCGTTATTCAGGGCAGGTCGCTAACCGAACTACCAATTATTTTTATGTAGCAGCTATACTACCGGGCTGCGGCCGTGCGACGTGATTTTGTGGTCGTTGAACAGGGCATGTAGCTGAACAAGGCGGCCGCTAAACCGGTCACCCTGCTGTACTTCGAAAGTCGCCGTGCCAACAAGCAACACACCCACGGTGGTGGGGAACATTCTTGGGGGGGGGGGGGCGAGTACGGGGGTGTCAATTCCGCTGGATTTCCGCTGGAATAATAAACACGAGGTCATCGGTACAGCCAGCGCTGTTTTGCAACATGGTTCGCTCCGTGCTTCTTGGGTACGTCTGTTGTGAAGTTTGTGTACGGACGGATACATATTGGTGGGGGGGGGGAGACGACACCTCCCTCGATGAGGTAGAATGGAACGAACAACATAGTGTCGCTCTACGCAGACCGAGCATCGGCCATCGCACAAAGTAGCAAGGGAGATGATCCCGACACACTCGCTCGCGCGCGTCGTTTCTCCCGTCCAGGCAGACATCTCTCTGCCGAAAAAAATCGAGGTTGGACGAAAAGCACAAACGTCCACTCAAACACCCACTCCACGCCCACTCGGAACCACAGCACTCACTGTTGAGGCCACATGCCTTCGTCGCACATCAGAATGATTCCGAACCGTAGCCCGCCCCCCTCCCTGCCTCCTCCCGCTGGGGCAACCGCGGCGCCTCCACTACCCTTGTCATGTAACCCCTCCTCCATATCGCCGGCGCCCCCCCCGACCTCACCCCCTGCTACAACTGGCGGTGCCCCCCAGCCTCCTCGAGACTCCCTTGTGAGCTTGACGATGGGACACTCTCCTCTTGGAGGCTGGGTGGCCTCCATGGCGCGGACCTGATTTTGTTGTTGTTGTTGTTGTTGTTGGACACAGACAAGGAGGGGAAGCAGCAGCAGCCAGCGGCGACGAATCGGGAAGGGCGGCATGTCTGAGGTGTTCATGAAACGCTTGAACACCGCGGTGCCAGCAACCGAAAACAACAAGTAGCGTGGGGTGATCTGTGCACTCCCACGCTAAAGACCCCGACACCACACGTAGCGCGTGAAGCTATCTTGTGCGGTTGTTGCTTGGCCACTTGGTATTGGGAGTCGCGCGTGAAGTTATTGTTGTTATTGTTCGCCCAATTGGTATTGTGAGTCCACCAGCGAAAACTAATGTGGTCGGTTTTGGCAGCATTTGCACATCTCGCTGGCTATTTCCGCAACAATCCTGGGATCATCTTCGTTTACTTAGTTTTATTGTCTCAAGTCTTATCCTTTTCTTTTTCGCCGGGTCATGAGCCTTTTGCACGTCCTCCGGCATTTTGTTACATGTGCTTCACTCCGCTTGCGTCCACACAGAAAGTGCGTCGTTCCATTGACTTTCTTCTGTGTGATAGAGGGGGCACGTGGTACAGACCTCAACGGTCCTTAAAACATGACAACAACCCCCGAAACCGCTTGGTCATATAAAAAAAAAAAAAGACAACCGAGCTGTTCCCAGAGACGCGAGCGCTGCCCGCTGCAACGCTCACCTGTAGGCAGTAGGTCCGGATGTAGAACTCCCGCACGGCGAGGCACAACAACCACGCCAGGCAAAAGGCGAGCCCCAGCCTCCTCGACCACGCCAAGACCCGCCTGCCCCTGGAGGCGCCGCCGCTGCCGCCGCTGCCGGTGTCGGAGCTAGAGCTACCAGTTTCAAAGCAGAGTTTCCGTTGCTTTCGGCAAACGCTGCTGCCGCTGTTGTTGTCGATGTTGTTGATTCGCGAACTACCGACGGCACCCGACTCGCTGCTGGGAAGAGGGGGGACACGCAGACAAGACAGCGACAGAAGGAGGCAGGGTTGGTTGGCTGTCGGTTGTAGACGCCGACCCGAACGGCGATGGCACTGTGTAGCAGCAGTGCCCTCCAATACTGCTGTGTGTATACATGACGCCAAACTATTGTTCAGACCCACTCGCGCGCGTACGCTACAAATAAACGGGACGAAACAGTAGTCCGAAACTATCAGGAACCATTCTTCCCGAGGTGACATTCTGTTGACATCCACACACATCAACTCTGTAGGGGGCTCCCCACTGGAATTACTGCTCTAAGAGATGCCAATTCCCAACAGAGACTGTGCAGGTAGCATGTGGTGTGCATGCATGCGTGTGAGAGATGAACGTGCACATTCAGGGGGACCAAAAAACAAAAAACATACTCCTATCTCAGAGAATACACTAATAGCTGAGTATCGAAAACAGCAGCTGCGGAAAACGGTAGGCAATCCAGAGATTGATTACATTACCCCGCAACGAGCTGTTGTATACGACGACGGAGCGGTGAGGATTTCAGGAAGCGTGCGCGATACAGCAATTCCGCTGCCAAGCTAGCGAACCAGCAGTGTCGCTTACCAAAGGGAGATGATGGTATGTATTGCTTTGGACAGAGAGAACAATGGAACTATATAGTCACGCACGATCGGAAAATGCACCTCTCTTGTATACACCATAACTTGCAGTCACCATGAACCTGTCCGAAAAATATAATACCTGCACAAGCTCCGTACTAATGAGAATCGGGAGGTTTGTCCTCTAGGAAACGCTAGTGGATCATTGTTCAACCCGCACGGCCACAACATAATAAATCTGAACACGCAGCCCCGAAAACATTCGAAAATACTCGCGATTGACCCTCCTAGTACCCAGTCCCTCCGTAAAAAACAATGTCGCAGAACTGCTTGTCAGCCATTGGTCGAGGGGCTACAGTCCCTCCAAGCAATCTGAGTTCCTTGCCAGACAAAGGGTGACTTGGCTTCAGTATGAAAAGTGCCCCCAAAACAAAGTCAGCAAAAATTTCCAGCACCAGGCGATGTACAGTTTTACGACCTATGTAGGGGGCACGCGGGTTGGGAGATGTGTACAGCAAGTCAGAGGCCGGCGGGAGAGGCATCACAAAGCATATCACACGGCGTACCACCTCAGCCAAGCATGATAGACCAAGGGTTTTCACGAGCAAACGCACACAGCAGTGGAGCCTAGGGTGACTACGGTGCGGTAAATGGACATTTGAGTGCTGTGTCCCCAAAGTGTCCCCATTTGGGCTTCCAGTACTAGTAGGGCTAAGGTACTTAGAGGGGGTGACACACACAGCAAATAATTAACAAAATAACGGAAGCCAGTTGATGCCGCGCGGATGTTTATCGTGAAAACACAAGCGCGCACCCAGAGGGGGCCCCTCCGTACAACGCGAGAAGCGAGAAAAAGAAAAAGCCTTGAACGTTCTGTAAACTCTATACCTCGTCACGCGTAGCACGTGTTCGGTACGTGCAAAACGATCAAAACATGCCTGCAGTGGATCGGTCGTTATATCTCGAGCGGATCGTCTTTCTCTTAAAAGTCAGGTATCTAGTTATCTACCTAAAGTTGAACGGCGAGAACGATCCGCGGATCAGCCCCCTATTCCTCAAGAAAAAGGCCAGAAAAAGCCCAGAGGGCTCCACCGCGCCAGGATCAGAGCATCTCTACTCTGTTAGTCGCCTCATTTCGAGCGAGAACGAGACAGACAGAGCAGCATGCTAGCGCTGTCGGTTCGTTGCTCCCATGAACTACACTGTTGCGGTCGTGTTCATGGCCTCTCCCGAGAAAGGAAGGGCCCACATATCTACGTGCGGACGGCAGTTTGTGTGTTCATACGTGCATGCGTTGGTTGAACCCAACCAAGCAGACCCCGTCCGAAACAAGAATTTATTGTTCTGTCATCCAAAACTGCTGGGTACTACTGCAGCTTTTGCGGAGCAAAACTAAGAGTTACCAGTAGGCCAACTCTTCGTTGTCCGCACGATAACCATATCAGCACGCGTTAGGAGTGTTCTGGCGAGAGCAGGTGTAGGCGACGCGGGAAAGGCGTGCAAACGGACGTACCAGTCCGCGATGATTTGCTTGCTCCTCCCTCTATGAAAACATGCGACACGATGCCTAAAGCTGGCTGTTGTCATTTCGATCGCTGCGGGCATTTCACCATCAAAAACGCACCGTGAGACGTTGGGAGCTGACCTTCGCCGCTTCCGAAGCAGCCCTAGCCACTCGCCACCTCTCCACGCGCCCACGTTCTTCAAGCTCCAGTTCTCTCCGGCCGCCCCGCCGTTCCCCTTAGTCTCCACCATGGACCCCCTAGCAGCACCTCCACAACAGCCATCACACTTTGGGCACAGCGGATGCCGTTTCCATGCCATCGCGGGGCTCGCGCCGGGCGCCGAGGGCCTCGGCCCGCTAGCAGTCTCTCCCGGGGTCGGCAGTGTCGCGTCGTGCGGTTGCCGTTGTTGCTGATTTAGGCACTCCTCGCCTGTTGCCTCGCTCAGCGAGGACACTGCTATGCCCTGGTGCTGGTGCTGCGCTTGCCGGGGCCGGCGAAGCCTCGGTGGCGCGCTGCTGTTGCTACTCATCGTACCTTGTCGCCGGACAGTTGGGGCTTCTGCTAATTCTGCTGCTGGGGCTACTGCTGTTGGTGTTGTTGTTGTTGCTGCTGCTGCTAAGGCTACCTCCTCATGCTCTTTGTCGGGTGCAGCCGTGGACATCACTCGGGCTATTGTATCTACAGCAGTACCTCCAGCAGAGACCAACAACAGCCTTTCGATGTCTTCCACCTTGGTGGGATCGGGACACTGCTAACTCTGGCAATAGCGGTGGGCGCAATATCTCGCCCTCTACGTCTCTCTACCTCAGGCGTTGGTCGTCGACAGCAGTTAAACCATAGCAGTCGCGGGAAGCTCTGGGCAGGCAGTGCCTGGACCGCGGGAACAATGGACGCGCCGGTAGGGGGCTACGCTGTACCCTCTGGGTGCCCCCCTCGTATAACCTTTTTCCCAGAAAATTCTCTGTGGAGGGAGAGGTTCTACGTTTTTCTTTGCGTCGCATCTGTCTTGCGCCAGTCTACAGCAGTCTACACGTCTACACCAACCAGATCCTGTGGCTGTCTTGTGTGCAGCTAGAAAAAGTACCTGCAAACACGCTTGGAGTGTGGTACATCGTATGCACATGCAGGTGGATTTCTGGGGGATGCGAAATTTCGTGGGATGCGAAATTTCGTGGGGCCCAAAAAAGGGTTCGTCATGTTGTTACCACTTTGGCAGGGTCGTGATGGGTCGCCGGGGCGGGAGGGGCGTCATCATGATTTACTGTAAGTTGCACTCGAGTCAAAATACAAACTTGAACCAGCAATTTCCATAAACAAAAACGTCCATATGCTTACACGTAACGGAGGATTTGAGCAGATGACCCGTGGAAACCAGGGTGGAAGCATTCTAAATCTTCCGTACAGTAGTCGTGATAACCAAGACTAGCGGGCCGGTTGTTTGTTGCATGTCTTGGAGTGTTCGACCTCATGATTAAAACAGTCATCAGGAACGAGCCGGAAAAGGCGGCCCTCCCCTCCTCCCGCACCCTCCACTATCTATACGACGATTTAACGACTCCCCATTCTAGCCTGTACAGCGTGTCGACCAAACACTTGCCTCTCTAAAGCACAAAGAAAGATACCACGATAACAAATTTGGGATTCCCACCAAATCTAACTTGCAAATCGCATAAACTCTTGAGACATCATGCCTCCAACATAAGCCTCAACAACCAGACAGCAACACCTCCACCCCCGAAAACATCCACCCTCCTTAGTCCTCTCCCTCGCACTCGGAGGACTCAGCAGCAGCACACCTGCTGCCGTGGGATGGCAAAATACGTGGTGCTGTGTGCCGTGTTTAGCGCCGAACACGTGTGGTATTCTCCCTCGTGGCGCCCAAAACGACACGTTTTCCCACCTGTACCACCACTGCATTTCGGTGATTTCAAAATCCACACGAGTCAATTTGTCGCGTCCATGCCCCGACCTAAACTTAGGTTTCCCATGTGAATTGTTTCCGGTAACGTTGGCAACACAGACCCAGGTTTCTAGCTAGCATTCACACGGCACCCCTTTGCCAAAAAGGCTTCGGAAATGAAGTATCCGCCCCCGCCAGTGACACCCCCGATCCAAGCTGTACGCTTACACGTGTCAGATGAGACTGCGCCCGTAGCAAGCGAACAGGCAGGCCAGGCAAGGAGCAACGACACGGTCAACGATGATATCCCTTGCTACTACTGCAACTGCCCGTCTTGCACGAGCCCCTGGTGCTTGTACCGCGTGAGTTGGGAGGAGACTCCTTCCAGACCTCCGCAGTGCACGTACATGAGCTGCGGCTGGCGTTCGTGTTGGGGGCGGAGGAAAGAAACGATGAAGCACAAACAAGTTGAAATAACCATTTACTTGCAATCGGCAGAAAAAATGAAGTACGAAGTAGGAGGAGTCGTGTTGTACGGATAAAGGTTGCTCAACGAGGAAAGGAAAAGTGGCACGCAGTGTTCTAATTTGTCAAAAAAAACTTGCTGCGAAAGGTTTTTTGACCAAATCATATAATAACCATGTGCCACTGCTGTTGACCGCATGATTGATGACATGAAACGAGTGGCCGCACGAACAAGACTAAGCGAGCCCGGGTTCGCTTCAAGAACAACGAAGAGAGGCTCACAACTGCCGCCCCCGTTGCCGCTGCACCTACGCACCTCCGAATCGATCGGAGGGCCGGGAGTCACCGACACGGGAGACCCCGACGTATCCCACGAGTCCATGATCACCTGGGCGCCGAAGCAAAGAACAAGCGAGGCGAAGAACGAGCGTCGCGTGGGCGGTCGGTCTGTCGCTCGATCCAGTCATCTATTGCACGGCCTTTTGTGTGGTCGAGATCGTCGGCTCACACGGGAAGCCTCATCCTTCTTGTGTGTTTGTTGGGTGCCATCTGTGCTCTCGCTTCGGCTCCTTCTTTGCGTTTTTTTGTCTCGAATCTCTATTAAAGTCGATGAAACGCCAAAAAAATGACGAGCGGCGAGCCGCGCGAGGTGACCGACACCGGCGTCTACCTCTGACAAGAGATTTCGGCTAACCGCTGTGATGGTCCCTGGCTTGTGATTCACGTGGTTACATTCTTATTTCGTCTTGTGCGTGGTGCATGTACAGCAGTATTTCAACCGTAAGCTTACCTCCCAGGCCGGAGCGGCATATAGGAGGTCCACGAACAAGCCCGCCTTGTCCAGCTCTCGCCAAACCTGACAGGTGCACACAACAACAACAAAGGGTAAAAACGTTTGACACACATCATATCGTTTAGTGGCGTGGAACTCGGGAAACGATGTATATGCGGAAGGGGAGCAGGAAGAGGGGTGATCAGAAGAATATGTGTCATGTGCATTTTCTGTGGTCTAGAAAGGGTGAACCATACCTTTGGGAGGGGGCGTCATAACCAGCGTTCGTGCAATGTGGTGGTTGCGCTGGAGCGGTAAGATGGGTGTGGTGGTAGTCGGGGGGGGGGGAGGG